CGCTGACACGTGTATAACAAAAACACCCAAGAAATGCTTTATATTAAAATATGTTTTTAGTTGTTCTTCCAACATTTCAATTATATTTAATAAAAAAATACTAAGAACATACACTAAAATCACCCATCGTACATGCTCTAAGGAATCTTGAGGATCTCAAACCCTCTTATGCAGTTAGAGGGTTTATGGCGGAAGCGGGAAACCCAGAAAACATCATACGAGGTTATAAAGAAGTCTCCGTCACTGAGAAAAGAGGCGAAAAGAGGAAATGGCGCCAGTTCTTCAGAGCTCACAGCCATGGGTTGAGAAATAGTACGATTTCTTACTGATCCTTTTCCGTTTTTGGGTTTCCGTTGACGGAAATCGCGTCGGATTTATCAACTCTTTGTTTTCCGATTTGGTTTCAGCCGGCCGAAGCAGGTTAAGGACGTGGCGCATCAGGAAGAGGTGGTTCGCGTCCTCACCAACACTCTCGAGACTGCTAACGTAATTTCACAAAAAGCCCTGAATTTTGATTTGGTACATTGGGTTTCGGGTACGAGCGTGAAAACCCTAGATGTTGAATTCGGCTCTAAATTCTGGGTTTTTTGGTTTCTTTTGTGTGTGTCTCTCTCTGTAGTGCCCACACATGCTCTTTTATGGACCTCCAGGCACCGGAAAAACCACTACCGCACTTGCCATCGCTCACCAGCTATTTGGGTACTCAAATCATCTCATACACTTAGTAAAAGCTGAAAATTCTGATATGAGTGTGCTTCTCTTTAATTAACTGTGCACTAGTCATTTTGGATGGATATTTGATTGATTCATTTCTGTGTGCTAACTTGTATGCAGCATTGTGACCTTGAATATGATGAATTCAGGTTTGTTATGTGGATAATTTGAAAGGTGATGCCATTGCTAAGATTATTTCCACTCCATTAGGTAGCTAGACAGTATACCAAGATGGGAATTCATAATAATAGTAGTCATTTTGGATTTTTGGTGTTGCTATGGAAAAGTGTTTGCGTTTTGAATTTCAGATTGTATCCTCTTTTGAGCAAATGAAAGCTAAATTTCCTTCATTCCATGGATGTCTTATGTGCTAGTTTCCGCTTCTTTGGGGGGTAATATCACATATGTATTTCATGAGTTTCATTGTTTTGTTATTTCATTTTGAGGTGATTGCAAGCTGACACTTGCGGATTTTTACCATGTGGATGTGAACTAATTAAAGAGTTTTTACAGACCTGAACTGTACAAGTCTAGGGTGCTGGAGCTGAATGCTAGTGATGACAGAGGGATTAATGTTGTTCGGACAAAGATCAAGGATTTTGCTGCTGTTGCTGTTGGGACTAATTACCGTCAAGGGTGTGCAAAAC